TAATTTTCACCAAATATTTACAATAMATTTTTCTAGAAATCATTAAAAGAAAAAAAAATGTTAATGATATTTTTGACTAATTTGTAAAATATATTTTGAATTTTAGCATTATTTTAGAACTTTTTTGATAAACGTTGATTAACTTTTTTTTTCTTGGTCAAAAATGKTGAAATTATAATGAATCGTTCCTCGTAAGTTTTATTTATAACTATTCAAGAACCTAAGAAGGTTTGAAGTAGGTACATAAGTAGTACATTCTTTTTAATAAAATATCCTCGAAAAAAATGCTGACGCACCATCTAGCTCAGAATCGTTTTTCGTTTATAATGATTTATCGTTGTATTAAAATATAACAACTCCATTAGTTTGTTCACTCGGAGTTTACTAAACAGTAAATCAAGTAGTTTTCCGGTGGTTTTTATTATTTTAAATTTGTATAAATTGATCGCTGATCGCAAAATATTCTTAATAAAAATGATTCACTGGTCAGATTTACAAAAACAAAATAAAAAGGGACCATTACGCGTACGTAGTGTGACAATTTTTTTATTGACGTGCACCTATTTGTTTGGTTTTCCAGAGAAATGGAAGCACAAGAAGTGCTCGTTGGACGAAGTGTACAAGGGCGCTGTGATATTCCTCGAAGCRGCCATAATGGAACCAGCCACCCAAATAGCCGGAGCCCAAGTAATTTTCGACATGGACGGTTTGTCGTTGCAACAGACTTGGCAGTTTAGCCCACCGTTCGCCAAGCGGATTGTTGACTGGCTTCAAGTACGGATCATGATGATAATTACATGAATAMCCTACAAGCACGCATACTGTATATAGGCTTGTTTAATGACATTCAAATATAATAAAAATAATAATTTACGGCGGTGAAAAAAAAAATTAGTTTTACAAGTTAGAGGTATATGCTTATAGAAATAGAACCATGGTTTTCGTAAGGCAAAGACATAATATATGGTATGGGTAAAGAGTGGATTTCTAGGTTCGATAAAAACT